CTCTCTCTCTCTCTCTCTCTCTCTCTCTCTATTTAAATATTTAAATGACTATGTAATTTTATTGGTAGCTTCTCATTTTTGAAAAAGTTAAGTTAGGAATGTATTGAATTGATGTGTATTTAGGAGGACAGCGAGCGGACATATTTTAGGCACAAAACTGTTTTCTCAAAAATCTGATTGTATAAGCTTTCTAACACTGTATTCACTAAAATTAATAGTTTGTATTTAATAGAGTCAAAATCAGATACAAATACAACTAAATTAATTTGTATAACAAATATAGTACATACTGTATGACAATGAAGTGCACTATTGTTTGGGTGAACCTTTGAATTGTTGAAACTTTCAAACAAATTGTTTGTCTAAACGTAATGTATGTGAAGTAAATGACAGTATGTTTGCGCATGACTTGTATTGGCTTTGATTTTACTTACAATTTACAAATTGTAAGCAAACAGTGATTTAATCTGTAAATTGTGTGTGTACTAGGTCATTTGGGCATTTGTGGGTGTGGCTGTCAATATGCCACAAACAGATCCGGACTCCTCTTATTTGATCAGAATTCACGGTAAATAAAATATTTGTGCTTGCTTATTCATTAATTGTTTACATAAACAAATATACTGTAATTTATAAATGAGAAGGGTTATTAATTAATATGAGGAAATTATACAATAAATTAGTCACTGATAATTAGTGTAAACTGCCCTTGGTAGACATTGCTTGTGGCAGAGGTAATCTGTTAGGCTATACATAACTATATATTAATACCGGTATATACAGTATGACTCATTATATGAAAGTGAATTGCACAGAATTTACCAATTAAAATATGATTTATAAAGGACCCTGTTAATTGTCACTTGCAGGCACATGTATGGTGATCGCATGGATCGGAACCGTGAGTCTGGGCATTGTGTTTGCCCGCTATTACAAACAGACCTGGGTGTCCAGCACTCTATGCGGTGTCAAAATATGGTTTGCTGTATGTATTGCCCACCAAATGATACAACAATTTGTAACTAATTGTATACGATTTGTTTACCCATATAGTATCACCGGGCACTTATGGTCACCAGTGTCACGCTTATGCTTATCGCTCAGATTTCTATATTCATTTACGTTGGAGGCTATCATGTTGTATGTATTGTAATATTACATATGCTTACCTGTATCAGTTTATTTTTGGATAATATTTGCTTATTAGTATATATACCATACAAAAACCCATTTAAACTAATGAACCAAACTTTTTGGTGTATCCGTCAGGGGTTGCATCAGTTATTTGGTACCCTAGCCTTCACTCTGGCGCTTCTCAATCCAATCGGAGCCCTATTAAGACCAGAACCGGAT